CGTAATTGAACTAAGAAAACTATTGTATTTTTCCTAGTAGGTGATTTAAGAATGTCTTTTAAATGAGGATGATATAACTTGTAAACGAGGATTTATGAGTATTTAATTATAATTTTTTAATATTTAATTGAAATTTTATTTTAAAAAATAATAAATAACAAATAATTCCTGCAGGGAGTTCGTGAATTTCTTGCCGGAAATCTCCACCATAATCATAGCCAAAAGCCAAAATTGAGTTGTAATCTTGGTGTCCACTGTCTTGACACGTTTCCTTGTCTCTCTGACATCGTCCCAGAAATAATGATCGGAGAGCTCCAACAACCAATACCAAAAACCAAATAAGAGATGGAATTTCAGATTGAACAAGATGATCATTTTGTGGGAATTTTCTCCGAGATAGAAATTAAATGGAGGGCGAGGACCAGGACGAAGACGGAAAAGCCTTCTTCGTCCCACCTGCTCTAAGTACCTTAGATGGAAGTCGTATCTGGGCCTTGCCCACATTTTGTTTGAAAGTAGGCCCAAAAACTGGCCCAACAACCATACGGACATTTTGGGCCCAGAACTCTCCCGGTAAAACTGGGCCGAAATCACGTTTGAAGAAGGCCCAAAAACGGCCCAATAATTACTTTAGGCCCAGAAAGATAGTTCTTCTTCAACTCTTTAGCACGGTTTAGTGCAGGAGGAAATCATGAAGCCTGCAACCCGGGAACCGCGGCGAAAGCTCAACCGCGAAAACTTCGTATCTAAGGTAATTTCGCCGGCAATCTGTGGGGAAACCTGCCCAATTTGCCTCAGAGAATTGCAGGATTGTACCACCGCCGTGCTTACATCTTGTATCCACGCCTATTGCGTAGAATGCATTCGCAAATGGAGCACTTTGAAGCGGACTTGCCCTCTCTGCAACGCTCAATTCGAGTCATGGTTCTCCAAAATCAATTTCTCATCATCAAGCTTCCGCAAAGAACATTTGCCAACCTTGAATTGTGTCGATAAGCTCAATACTGGAGTCGGATCCTCCCGGATTGACAGTCGCAGGTGAGTTTTCTGATACGTCTTTTATGGCATCATGTTTTCGAATTGACATTTTCTGCTGGAATTTGAACATTGAAGCGAAGATGGAACTATATTTTCTTTGCTCTCTTCAGTTCCCGGAGAACTGCACGCAGTAGGCAGTTTCAAGCAAGAATTAGATTGAACATTGAACTTGAAGCTATATTTGTTCTCCTACTTTGATGTAGGCTTCTTCAGAGAGCGAGGAACGAATTAAATAGAGTTAGACGGTCGGAAATACCACTGACATGGCGGCGATCGTTTGGACGGCGAGGGTCAGAACCTGTACCAGCTGACGTTATTGCCCAGCGAAAACTTCAATGGCGAGCAAGGTATCTTCTACGTTTATTTCTCTGGTTGGATTTTACGGTTCTCACATTTTTTGCCCATGTTCTAGAGTTAGAGCTCGAATATTTGTTGCTAATTTTCTGTTGGGTTATGATTTGACAAAGCATATACAACCGACATATACAAGCTGTTCCATCTTCGGTCAGATGCGGTGCAGAACTGGTATGCATTTTAATCCTCTAGCAATTACGTTTATATAGAATTTCATTACCTCATATACAGCTTTGGGGGCCAATTCCTTGCTTCGAAATTGAATTGGACACTTGTTTTTTAATCAAATACATTGCAGATTGCCTACTTGCACAGTTTATAATAATTGATTTCATTTTCTCTTTGGGTGCACAATTTATAATTTCTCATTGGGTTCAATTCTGTTGATTTGGTTCTTCTAATGCTGTGTTTGTGACGTTTAAATAGAACATATCAGGAAGTCATGGAGCTAAAGAAGCAATACTAGAGAAGATTAAACCATGGATTCAGAGAGAGTTGCAAGCCATCCTTGAGGACCCAGATCCAACTATAATTGTTCATCTGGTTACCTCACTATTTGTCTCGAGACTTGAAGCTCCTTCCTCGCAGCTTAATCCCGAGGATGACTTTCTTTTGGCGCTGCATCCCTTCCTTTATGAAAAAACTGACTTGTTTTGGCATGAATTAAGGTACATGACTCATTAACTGTTGAATAATTTGATTCCTCGTCTATGATGCATCTAAAGATTTTTGGTAGCCCACACACAGAAGTAGAAGTACTAAGGGCTTGTTCACCTCTAGATTCCTTAACAATACCCAAGAATTGGAAACCAGAGATTGTGAGAGCATTAATATCTGACCCTAAGTTGAAACTCAGCTGATTATAAGTAAATTTCCAATATCGTATCTTCAACGGAAAAGGGTTATCTTTCAATCGGGTTTTTGAATCTTTTGTTTTTTTTTTGTCATATCGTGGTGTAAATGCTCCCCTTTTCCACAATTATGGCTTTACATCTTTACTATATAGCTGGAAAAGCTTTTTGTAATCCCTCTTTTGGGCCTCCTTTGTAATTTCATACATCAACGAAATTGTTTTTTTTACCAAAAAAATTTCAATATCTTTCACTCTACTCTGAACATGTCCGCAAACCTTTGTGCCTTTTGTTCCCAACTCAACTAATTCCACTAGTTCAAACTCAAGCCTAAACCAGTAAACCATTGCTTGCCTTCAACCCCCTATCAACAATTCGTATGATGGCTGTACCTATGAGAGTTTCCTGCCAACCAAACAAATGTCTTAGCTAATGAGTAATATGTCCCCATTATCGGAATAGTATTTCTGCAGTTATTTTTATTTAGAAATTTTGTTCTCAGATGTTTTGCAGGAAGTTCGTTACGCATGGAAGAGTATGATTCAGTGGTTGAATATAGAACCGTGGATTAATTGAAGAGAAGATTCTGTTTGAAGAAATATTTTGTACTCAGTACTCTCTCCTGTTGGTTGCTGTTTATTTATGAAATGAATTGACATTAATATTAAGAAAATGTTTTAGCTAGGAAGGGGTGAGAGTCGCGGCTGGGATGCAATTTTCTATTCTTACACCGAACTGGATGAAAGAACCACGTTGTAAGACTAAGACATCTCTGCTGCTGCTGAGGATTTTAAAGACGGTATTCAAGGTATCCAGGTCGGATGTGTTAGTTTGACATGTCTATCTAGGATGGAGGTGTTAGTTAACGCGTCACTACCCGCACGTCGGGTAACATTAGTGACTAAATAGTCTCCATTCGAACTACAATTCATTGGAGGAAGAAGAGAAGATTCTGTTTGTGTTTTGTATTGATTCCTCTATGCTTGTGGAGTGGTTTTTCTAACGACAGACAGATTGGAGTTGTTGCTCCAACCTCGACCGAGTCGTTTTTTGTAGCATGAAGTTGAAGAAAGGAACTTGAAGACTGACTGGTTTGAAGGTAGGGTTTTGATGGATGGATCATCCCTGTGGAATAACCCAAGAGTGTTGAAATTGGCTCATTGCTTGCTAGTAAAAATTTAGGGTTTGTTATTTTACTTATGATTTCAATAAGTTCATGTTGAGAAATTTGTGTTTGTGTCAGTTCAAAACTGATTTGTTTACATTGAATTTATGTAGCCTGTGTTTGATATTTATAATCCGAGTGAGTATATTTTTTAATTCCTTACTGTCTCGTAAATTTAACAGGTGGAGTTGTTTTGTTCATATATAACTCAATATCGAATCTATGTCTATGGATTTGCCATCAACACGAGTGAACCACTATTTTTATTATGATATTAAAATTTTGACAAAACATTTTTAAAATTCCTAATATAGACATAATATTTGTCTATATTAATTAATTTAATATTTACACAAATCAATGGTCAAATACACATTTCAAAATGGTATCATCAGAACGCAAATAATAAAACTTAGGTTTTTCAATTTTAAATTTCGTGAAGTAAAACAAATCCTATTTTCAAATTTTTGAGTTACTTTAGGCTTTATTATATAACTTTTAATTTTTATTCATTTTAGTCGTCGTTTGGTTCTTATATATACACTTTAAAAAAGTAATCGATTTGGTCTTTATTTGTAAAATTGTAACACAAATTTTATACCTAATATAAATTTATTACTACATCTCAAGAAATTTAGTAAATGAAGTATCATGCTAAATTATGATTCATGAAAATGAGATACAAGATAGTATTTAAATCTATATTAAATAACAAAGGATGTTTGTAAAAAAAAAAACAACTAAATAAAAAATAACAAAAGATGTTATAGGTTCAAATATAATATTACAAGTGAGTGGATCCTCGAAGGAAGCATGTGTTAAGGGCACGAGTCCGAACCCAACAACTCAAACTAAAAAAGCTTAAGTGTCATCAAGACGAGCTGCCCTACTCGTCCATCCTTCTTGGGCAAAGACAAGAACTCCGGGGGTGATTGCAATGAGCAAAAATCTCACTTGCCGGCCTAAACGACGAGCAAACACTCGAGTAAGTAAAAAAGTATGGTATAGCAATCTTTCCAAGCGAGCCTCTGGAATCTCCTGTAAACCCCCACGATGTGGTAAAGGGAGGATATTAGGGGAAGCATTGAGTGGAGATTCCCCTCCCTTTTCTTTTAGTAGGCATCAGTCTTCTTTATCTGACCACATTGCATCAGGGCTAGGGTTCATAAGCTCTTTCTTTCATTCATCAATAGGACCTTGGTCAGTTACTAATGGACGAAATATCTGTCGACATTCGGTAAAAGTACGGTCTTAATTTGATAGGATGGCAAGAGTATGACTCCGCTCGTCAAAGCATCCTATCTCCAGCCGTAATTCTCCATCCAACGGCATAGTTCAAATATATTGCGACATGTCCTCTCAAAATGCTCCCCTCTAATAGGAGGATTAAAATTCTTCATAAAAATATACTTACTCTCCTCTTAACTCATCCAAATTAAGTTCTAAGTTCTAACTCAGCGTTAGAGTACAGTAACAATAGCCACGGTATTAAACCTAATTTCGACACCAACCAAAGAAAAATTGGTAAAAGGAAATTCACAACAATGAGGATTTCATAAAGGAAAAAAAAAATAGAGGCTTTTGATTCGTCGCAGGCTTTGAACGTTGCACACGATTTGAAATTTGGGGAAATCCTTTGTCCAAATCCACTCGCCTGCAAGTGAGTTCATTCCACCGCCGTCCAAATTCGGCTTCGATGTCTAATTTCCTCTGCAAAACCCTAATTCGCGTTCGTCATCTCCTCACGAATTCACCATATCCAAACCTCCGCTGCGTTCAATTTCTCCATGTGAGCTACACTACTGCCGCCGTCTCAGATTCGCATTCTTTCACAGTTTCGTACCTCGTAAACTCCTGCTCATTTTCTCCTGAATCTGCTCTCTCTGCTTCAAAGCTCGTTAGCTTCGATGCCCGCGACAAACCAGATTCCGTGATCTCCTTCTTCAAGAATCGTGGTTTTTCCAATATTCACATCTCGTTGATTATCGGAAAATACCCTCGGTTACTGCTATCTGATCCGAACAAAACCCTTTTGCCTAAGCTCGAGTTTCTTTACTCCAGAGGTGCTTCGAGTTCCGAAGTCTCGAAGATTATCGTCAAGGCCCCTAAAATCTTGAGGAGAAGCGTTAATAAGCATCTGATTCCTGCTTTTGATTTTTTGAAGGGCTACCTTCAATCTAATGAGCGGACCATCGCATCTATCAAGCGGTTTCCGAGTATTATTGCTGATTTTCGTCAGAACCAATTGAATGGTTCCATTAGAATGTTGCTGGATGCCGGGGTGCCTGAGGCGAATGTCATGTACTTTCTTCTTTATCAGCCGAGAATGTTCACAATGGATCTGGACAGGTTTAGGGAGATTTTGGAAGACGTGATGAAAATGGGGTTTGATCCATTGAAGTCGAGCTTCGTTCAAGCTGTTCATGCTATACGAGCAATGAGCAAATCGACGTGGGAAAGGAAGCTCAATATTTATAAGAGATGGGGTTTGTCTGAAAAAGAGATTATTGCTGCATTTAGGAGTCATCCATGGTGTATGACACTATCAGAGGAGAAAATTATGTTGGGAATGGATTTCTTTGTCAACAAATTAGGTTGGGAATCCGCAGCAGTTGTTAAAAGTCCTGTCCTGCTTTCATTTAGTTTAAAAAAGAGAACAATTCCAAGAGCTTCTGTTCTGCTGTTTCTATTTGAGAAAGGTTTGACTAAGAAAAAATTCATGTTGGTAAAACCATACATGTATACTGAACTTCAGTTCTTGCAGAAGTTTGTTCGTCCTCACCTGGAAGAGGTTCCTCAGCTATCAAAGCTGTATCATGTAAATGTGGATGATGGGATTCATTGATTATAAATTTGGCTGCACTTTATACTGTGAGTTCCAAGTCAAGCTTTTTTTTTAGTAAAGATGGTTCATTGCTTTAATTTTGCCAAGTTAGCATGCAGTATCTGAATATATGGAGTGATAGTTTACTCTGTTTCATCATAATTTTTTCTGCAAAAGACTGATTCATCATTAGTCATAATTCTTAAGTTAACATTAAAGCTTTGCCATGATTTTTTAGTGGCCGTTCTTGTGATTTTCTGGTTGAAATTTCACTTTTTGGTCACTCAAACTACTGAATACCCAGACATTGTTGTAAAATTTAAGGATATTTTGAAAAACAGCATTTTACTTTGTTTTCAAGTGCTTTCGTAGATTGCTTGCATAGGTAATAGGGTAAGGTTATTGTGCATTAGAGAAACAGTTAAGTAAGTAGAATGATTTTCAAACCAATTTCCAAAGAGTCTATTATATTTGTTAGAACAGATTCTTGTTTGAATTAGGAGAGGATGGATGAGACACAATGGAAGGAACCTTCAAGGGAATTACAGAACTAGAAAAGGTAAGATGTTTTGGTAGCTGATAATAGTCTGGTATCGAATTTTGATGGATAACTTAGCAATAATGCACCTTTTTAAGGCTACATGCATCATTTTCCTTCATGATGAGGCTGCTAGAATTTAATGGAAAGGATCCCCGTTTGGAGATGTTATGAATTGAAATGTATATATTTATATCCAGTTCTGTCAATTAGAAATTCAGTCACATCTCGACCAAATTATCTGTTGACGGTCGGATCCTTTAGGCATGAACTTACAGGCATTTCCTTCATCCTTGAAAACTGCTATTTACCCTGGAGAACACATCCAGTGATATTTGTGTTCTGCAAATGTTTGTGGGTTGTACTCTATTTGTTTTAGGAGAAATAAAGAGGCCCATAAAAAATGCACCAACTTCGTTGCACTAGAAAACTATGCCATTGACCTCTCTTTTCAAAGGGATTATCTTGGCAAGAAGGGAAAAGGATTCATATTTGGTTCATGGAAGCTGTCCATAAAAGCCAAAAGGGGTCTTCTTCTTGCCATATTCCAAAAAAAAAAAAAAAAAACTAGGGTATATCAACATTTTATCTATAATATGTAAAGGCGGGTATGAATATGCGTTTTTTGAATGGCAACGGTTACCATACGGAAAACACAAATTCACACCCCAAGCAAATTTCAGAAGCATTCATCCCATCGAGTATTTTAAAATCTCCCCAAGCAAATCATGGGTGAAGGTGAAGCAACCTAGCTGTGATGACAACGGTCACAAGTCTTATGCCTATGTCTCTTCATAGTTCATCCCGATAAACCAATCAATTACATGATGGTCCAGTCAAACAATGAGGATGGGATACTTCTCTTTTTACAAAGTCAGGGAGATTTCTCTTTTTACAAAAATCTGTGCTAGCGCAAAGGGTCATATTCTTCGATCGACATCAATAAGCTTCTGTCTGGAAGGGAGGAAATTCAACACTTCCACCAAACCTCATTGATGTTGGGAAGCAGTACTTTTTCTTTTCTTTTCATAATATAGCCAGGATGTCAAAATCTCACTCCTGATCAAATTATATTTTCAACATAAGACCGAAGAAGGCAACAATACTTTCATATTCTAATCAATAGTTTACGTTTTTGATCCCAATTAATGACATCATCTAGGGAGGGAAATTGTCCCGAAGGCTTAATAATCACTTGCTAATCGCACAACATGATTGAAGTTAAAATGGTAAGTCATTTGAGGCGAAATCATAATGATATTTGCATTATGTTTGAATTGATACGAAAATCCTTTCAATTAGCTAGAATCCATAAAACCGAAGTCGAATACATGAAATAAAATGGGTGACCATTCATTGGATTTATGGGGTGCTGCTACAAGTAGGAGTCAATTGCCTTGGCTCTCTTAACTTCCACATTACAATGAACATTTTTCAATCCAAAAGGCAAAAAGAGAAAAAAGAAAAAAAAAATGGAATACAAAAGTCAATGACGTGTTAATAAGAAAGCACAGAATTAACAACTTTCCACGTCTTCCCAAATTCCCTCTCTGCACAAAGCTCCTTTTTTATTTCCTTTTCACGTAGGAAAGAACAGAGCTTCCTAAAAACATCCCCCATCATCATCATCATCATCATCATCTCCAAATAATCTACATTAGTAGCAGGCAAAGGCAGATAATAAACTTATAAATAATAATAAATCGAAACAGGGGAGTCGAGTCGAGAAATTCGAATGCGCTATCAAATCCCTCCCAATTTACTTTTTTTTTTTTCGGCTACTGTGGCTCCCTTTTTTCTCCACTCCACCCTAAAATCCTTCAAAAGCCAGGCGATGGAAGTTGAGAGGCTAATCCCAGTTCGTTCCAACCAAATGAAGAAGTCAAAATCCTTCCCCTTCACTAACAACTATGCAGATGATAGCGTACAATCCTCCCTCTACGCATTTTTTTTGCAGACCCCACCCTCTCTCTGGATCCTTCTTCTCTAGTGTAACCAAAGCTTTCGACTAACCAAGCAAGAACTTGAATATGTCGCTTAGCGAAATAATGCCTTCTACTCGTTTGCTGCCAGCTTCCACAATTACAAGCCGTCGAACACCTGAAAGTTCATTTATCACCCATAAGAAAGAAGATTGATTTTGGTGATTACTCGATCCATCAAGAAAGACATGATTATCTACCTGGGTTTGCTAAACGATCCATCACTTTATGCAATGAGTCAGATCGCAAACACATCTGACATCGTTGACTTCGTGGCTCGTAAAGAGAAAAAGAATCTTGTCCAAGTTGCAACGCCTGAGGAGGAATCGGATACAAAAATAAGAATGGAAATTCTGAATATTAGTTTAACAGCAAAATAGCAATCTTCCACTGTTTCTTTCATCAACAGAGTATAAATAACTTAACATGACAGGGCTAGAAAAAGATTGCATAAATATGAGATGGGAATTTTAACAATAACTACCGCATAATCAAAGCCATTTTTAAGAGTTCATAATATTACAAATTTCATTAAATAAAACAAAAGGCGAAATGTTCAAACCCACCCGAAAATAAAGACGAATAAGAAAAGGATACTTGTACAAGTTATATGCTTTAAAACAAATCCACACAATTTTCAGTGAAAATGCCACATCAAAGTGTGGATGGATAATGAAACCATTAATTTTTTTGAAACCATTAATAAGAAAGACAAATTAGAAACAGACGGGCAATTGATTTGCATGGGAAATGGGATGAAAGGGAATGGGGGACAAAACAAGTTACCTGATGAATGGTCATTTCATCAAGATTAATGTGTGTATAAGCTCTGTCCTTTGCAAGAGCTGTAATATCACTGTACAAACGAAATAGTAGTGATTTAGACATACATTCTCAATCGCATTAACCTGATAGAAGTTTATAAGATAACCAAAAAGAAATGTTGTAGTAAATAACCTCCGGCAATATACATCCAGCAACGAATCGTTGTCATCTACTATGGGTATTGAACTAACTTGAGCTGCAGAGTTGCAGAATACAACGTCAAATTAAATCAATAAAAAATTCATAAGACATATACCATAAATTCAAATGCTACATCTCATCCCTGAAAATCAGAGTGGAAGTGTGCATCCAAACGGAAAACCACATCCATAGACTACCAAATTGTCCTCTGATAGGATATCAACAAACGATCTCAAATAATAATGTTCACTTCAAATGCAACAAAAGGGAGCCCTCTAGAAGCCATTTGTACAACTTTGTTGAAGCAAAAATACCCTAAACGAAAAAACAAATCCAAAATTGGATAGAGAGAAATAACAACTTTTCTGGGGGAGAACTGTTTTCCTAGATAATATTGTTTTTATGGCTATGGCTTGTTGAAAATTGTCTCAGTCTCTGTAATTATAGTTCAACTGCTCTTTATGTTAAATGGAAAACTTTTTTTGTAACTTCCTTACTTGGGTTGAGGTTCTCCTACCCTTTTTATTTACTTCTCCTACCCTTTTTATTTACTTCTTAATACCCGTGAGTATCTAGGCCAATTGCACACACCTTGACCAATCTCACAAGATAACTGCGCTTGAGTAACACCTCAATAAGCTAACACCACTCTTCATTATTAGAAGCTTAGCGAATGTCAAACTACCCTTCCTATGTAAATCACTTTGTCAATAAAATAATTCCATATCCAAAACACACCCATTTTCTTGAAGTTAGTCTGTCCGCAAGTCCAAAAACTACACTATATGTGGTCTACTCCACACTTATCAGATCAAACAGGGAAATTAAGCACACCTCTCCTCAAAAAATATATGATCCATGAATATGTGAAAGATACCAATGTACCACAGACATAAAGCAAGTGGATACTAACTTGATCAAATAAGCAGGACAATGTAAAATTACAATCTTTTTTCATTCGTCATCTAAGCTCAAAATCTAAAACAATTACGTAACTTTTCCCCTTCATAATCTATCTGGTATTTATCATTTTGCAGCACTAGATGGGAGTGATGGATGGCCAGAAAGAGAACCAGATCTGGAAGAACCCTTTGCTAAGATCCGTTAAAAGTAATCCACAAAAGCAGTTTCCTCTATTATAAAATAAAGTACACCTATCTAAACATAACCACCAAAGTAAAACAATCCTACAGTAGAAAGTTTGAAGGCAAACCTTGAATCAGTAAGTTTAACGCTGCACTAAGTGAAGCACTAGGTCTCAACATAGCTAATGGTCGTCTGTTAGATTCTCCAATTTTTGGGACCCATGTACCAACTGGAATTGCAAAAATTGGTAGCTGAAGCACAGGCAACAGGCTAGAACAATGCCTAAAGTACCTGCAGATACCTGGAAACTAACACCCATTACTTGGTATCAAGCGAAGCTCCATTTATAAAATAAAAAACTTGGAAGACACTTACATTTTAATATTCCAGAAAGTGAAGCAAGATGCAACAATTGTGGAAATGAACCATCGTCTGCAGATGAATGAATTATGGGAACTGTAGCTACCTGATTTTGCAAAATCTTTAAAGCAACATCTTTCAAATTATCAAATGGTTCAGCCTACAT